TTCTTCTTCTTCTTCTTCTTCTTCTTCTTCTTCTTCTTCTTCTTCTTTTACACTATGAAAATCATAATGTCAGTCTACAGCATATTAAGTCTCATTTGGGAAGCTAAGTTTTTTTCCCTTCCCTGCCACCTGTTTTTCCTCTTAGGTTGTATCTTTTCAGATCATAAGGTGCTTTGTGTCTGCCATTCAGCAATACGGTCTCAAGGTCCAACGTCATATACACACAGCAGAAAGCTTGCAAGGAAACAGCACCTCAAGGAAAAGGCTTAACTAGTTTTCCATGTGAAAAGAGGTGCTTTGAGATAAGGGCTAGAGTCCAGATGTCATTTTTTTGACAATTTGGCAAGGATTTTCTCGCACTTGCGATCAAACTTCCCATGGCTTCCCATGATGAATGGGTGAAAATTGACTTTATATCCTCCAGGGGTTGCTGTAATTGAGTCTCCCAGCTAAGCCTTAAAAATTCACAAAGTTTTAAAGAGAATTTTGTCCTTGCCTTTCAATCACCTTCCCTTGTTCGAAGCATCAGGTTTTCTCTGCATTTGGAGTCCAACATTTTCGAGCTTTACCTTCGTTGTTTCTGCCCGCAATGGCTCAGACGATTTGACTTTGTCAAGGCTCAAATGAGCGAGTCACTTTTGCAGCTCAAGGCGTTTGCAATTATTTCCTCCAGCACTTCTTAAAGAGTCCACAAAGAAAAAGAAAAAAAAGCTCTCTCTTTTGTCTTGTAAGCCTTGGAGATGCTTTGGGCTTTTGTTGCAAATGGAGTGGACCGATCCTTCCCTATACTTAGAACAGCAGAAATGCCAAGCTAGCTTTTCCTCAGCCATTAAGCAGAATTGCTGTTTGGCTCCTAGCAAGCATGGCTGGAATTACCATGGTGCGGAGGAGCCCTTCATCTGCTTACCTCAATGGGCCTTGCCAACAACTGGCTATAAATATAACAAGGCAAACCCATCTCGCTGTCATTCTGAAATATTGACCCTCTGTGGGAGCTGGAGTTGGCTCGGACTTTGCCTGCCTGGGGTTTGATTTGGGGGGGCGGGCTTCGGTTGCCACTGGAAAGGCATTCTTGAGGAAAGAAAGAAAGAAAGAAAGAAAGAAAGAAAGAAAGAAAGAAAGAAAGAAAGAAAGAAAGAAAGAAAAAGGAAGGAAGGAAGGAAGGAAGGAAGGAGAGGAAAGAAGGAGAGGAAAGAAGGAGAGGAAGAGGAGGGAGGGAGGGGGAAGGAAAGAAAAAGAAAGAAAGAAAGAAAGAAAGAAAGAAAGAAAGAAAGAAAGAAAGAAAGAAAGAAAGAAAGAAGAAGCAAGAGGAAGAGGAGGGTAGGAGGGGAAGGAAAGAAAAAGGAAGGAAGGAAGGAAGGAAGGAAGGAAGGAAGGAAGGAAGGAAGGAAGGAAGGAAAGAAGGAAGGAAGGAAGGAAGGAAGGAAGGCCAGTTGTCGTCATTCTGGAATGCATGAAGGGCATCCTTTAAAAAATATTATTTAAGATGCAAAATAGAGTATCTTGTGGCCCACAGACCTTTGCTTGTAGATGGCCAAAGTGGAAAAGCTGTAACTCAAAGGATTTCCAAGATGGCAGATGATTAGCAAAGGTCTGCCTGAGAACGTACGAAGTGTCAAGCCATATATGTTACCCAGTTTTCACATAGGAACAAATCTGCATCATGACACCAAGCTATGACATATCTAAGCATGGTTGATTAAATAGACTAGTTAGCTGAAGTCACACATTTCACTACAACGGGTAATTTATCAACCACTGTGGGACCCACAGAAAACAGTAAGACAAAATAAACCGTGTCATGAGATGGGTTCATCTCTTCAGAGACACAAGCCAGGTTCTCACACACACTAAAACCAAGCACAACATTTTTGCTATAACAAAACAGAACAGCTGCCCTAACGAAACATACGTGGATGTGTTTGTTTAATTTTCTAGTTGTTCAGCAGACTTTAAAAAAAAAAAATCTCATCCTTTACAGCCTGAGCTATAAATTATTTAAGGTCCAGCATGGAGAAAAGATGCAGAAAACTGTTAAAAGTATGTTGTTTTGTGGAAGTGTCCTAAATCAATAAACATATTGCCTGAATTGGGATTTTCCCCCAAACAGCCACACTCCATTTCCATCAAACTGTTTCAAAAACGTCTCCCCTCTTAGAGGGAAGAGCCGGAAAATTGGAAAAACTCAGGCGCTGGGCATTAACCCAAAGCCACCATTTGGTTAACCAGGGTTTGGGGCATGTCAGATTTGGCTAGATTCCCACCCACCGAAACATCAGAGTTTGCAACCTTCAGTGTCTGGATCCAGGCGACTCACTCAGCCGACCATTAACAGCAATTGCACCCAACAGAGGCTGCTCCGAGCTTCAAGTAGAACCACCAGGCTCAGGAGGAGTCTAGGTGCCCAAACTCCCTCTCTCTGCTTGTATTGTGGTTTGCTGGCAACAGGTGTGGATGGCTGAGGCCTCGGAGAGCGAGGACTCAGGTGAGGGGCCTGCGTGTGAGGCAGGGATGGGGCCAGGACCATCAGGGAATGGAGTGCTGCCTTCAGAGATTGTGGAGGCTGGCAGCAGCGATGAAGAGGCCCCCGAGGAGCCTGGGCCCAGTATGCATGCGCGCAGGGCTGCTCGAAGGAAAGAGCATCTGCAGCAGCACGGGCGACTCGGGAGTAAGGCTGCAAGGTGATGGCTCCTCCCATATGGGATAAAAGCCAGCCTTCGGGGTTGACTTCTTTGCAGGAAGCAAAGAAGTTTTTGTACTCAAGCCCTGTGGACGTTCGGAATATCTTGGTTGGTGTTTGGAGACACTTTTGTGTTTCAAATCTTTCTTAGTAACTTTATCTAGTGTTCTTGGCAGCCTTGCACCACCTCGGCAAGGCACCTCGTTCTTACCAGAGATAATTCATATGAAACAGCTTTTTAACCGGGAAGGAACAGAATTCGTTGAGAATCATTAAAAGGTTTTTCCGTTACTTCTGTTTCATGTTTGTTTCCTTGGAACAAGGTTTGGGTCAGAGCCGCTTGGGAAGTCCACGACGCTCAGTCCTTGCCTTCTCCTGGTGGGAACTTTGATGGAAACACATTCCTGCCTCCGGGATCACCTAAGGCATCCCAGGGGCCAGCTACAATCTTTCCCCCCCTCTCTTGCATCCGCCTTTCCTCCCCTCCCTTTAGCCTTTCAACGTCCGGCCCCTTTCTCCCACCGCCTCCCCTTTCCTTCCTAGTTCAGCTCCGCCCAGCTCCGCATCCTTCATTCCCTTCTCCAAACTGCCAAACTGTTTTTTCCTTCTCCTTTGCTTGCTTTCCACGCTTCCCCCACCACCACCACCACTCCTCCCCATAAGTTGTCCTTGCTGGGGGAGGAAAGGGGCCTCCAGCAACCTAGGAAGGAACACAGCAGCCTGGGAAGGATCTGGTGGGTTTCTTAGTTCAGTTTTCCCTCTTTCCCTTCCACCCCCCCCCTTTTTTTTCCTTTTCTCCTGTTGCAAACTGAAGTGAAACTGGCGGAGAAGACTGAACAGCCTCTCTCAACCCCTTTCTAAATGCAATTTATTTTGTTCTTCCTGCTTCTCTCAACGGAAAAGATCGCTACGGGAATGGGTGACCGGGAACCCAGCAGTCAAGAAACTTTCGCCCTCCCGATTTGCTAGCTTTGTTCGGACTTAAAAAAAAAAGAAAAAAAAAGAAAATCCTCTTCCGCAGCCCCAAAGTTTCTTGAGTTTTATTTGCACACCTGGATCTGTGTGCCAGGGTGAGCAAGAGGGAAAAAAATACCCCAGACAAGAGGCCAATACTTTAGAAGAGAAAAAAAAAAGAAGTTTCTTCCATTTTTTCTGTTTTTTTTTTTTTTAAGAAACTCCAAAAATTGGCAAGACACACATTTTTGGTTTTTTTTTATTGAAGCCAGCAAATGCCTTTTTCCTTTCTCCTCCGAGCAGGGGATCAGAAATTGCCAACCCAGGAGGACGGCTGAACAAGTAATTATTATTTTTTTCCTTCCAACCCCGAAGCTTAAGGAAAAAGAACATCTCGCGTGCCTGATTTCAACCAGGTGGCAGACTGGTAAAAACAAAACAAAACAAAACAAAACAAACAAAAAAGATAACAACAACTGAGAAAGAAGAAGAAAGAAGAAAAAGGAGAAGCGGAGAGGAAGAAAAGCCCCGACGTGGTTTCCAAGATGGGCACTGCCATTTGCATCAGACGGCAGAAAAGTCTTTTGCAAACCGGGTTTTGCCTCTTGGCTCTCGCCTGCCTGGGCTCTGGAGTTCTTCTCTACAACCACCTCCAGCAAAAGGTGAAGGCTGCCGAAGGCTCAGCCTCCAAATTCAAACAGCAACAGGAAGCCCTGTCCGCCCAGCTGCAAGGTGAGGGCAGGGAGGGAGGTGGAGTTCAGTGGGTACGTGTGTTTGTGTATTTGTGTGTGTGTGTTTGTGTGTGTGTATGGGGAAGTTTGCTGTTGTATTTTATTTTAATTGTTTTCCTCCACACACAAGGATCCATCTGCTGGGAAGTTCTGTCCCCTCCCTGCATTGACTGCTTACCCTAGTTTGATCAGCGGGTCTTGCCAGAGTGGGATGAAGTCAGATCTCCGGCCCCGGGGCTCCTCCCGTTGCCAAGGGAGGCAGTCCGAGAGGCAGGCCTGGGGTTACTTGTGAGGAGGAATCTCCCAGGCCACAAGGGTGAGCTTGACACCCCCCCCTCTCTCTCTCCCCCCACCCCGCCCCAGCATTTCCAGGTAGGAGGATCAGGTGGGGAAGGTAACCTCCGGCAAGACCCTCTCTCGCTGCTGCAAAGTTTGACCTGGGCTTGTTGGAAGGAAGGGAAGGAGGGAGGGAGGGAGGAAAAGAGGGAGAAAGAGAGGAAGGAAAAAAGGACAGGAGGGAAGGAGAGAAAGGAAGGAAGGAAACGGAAGGAAGGAAAAGAAATAGAGGAAGGAAGGGAGAGAAAGAGGAAGGAAGGAAGGAAGGAATAGAATAGAATTCTTTATTGGCCAAGTGTGATTGGACACACAAGGAATTTGTCTTGGTGCAAATGCTCTCAGTGTACATAAAAAGAAAAGATAACATTCGTCAAGAAACTGAAGATGCAATACTTAATGATAGTCATAGGGTACAATAAGCAATAAGGGAGGGAGGGAGGGAGGAAGGAAGGAAGGAAAGGAGGAAGGAAAGAAGGGAGGAAGGAAAAGGAAGGGAAGAAGGGAGGAAGGAAGGAAGGAAGGAAGGGAGGGAGGAAGGAAGGACGGAAGGAAGGATGGAAAGAAGGGAGGAAGGAAGGAAGGAAGGGAGGAAGGAAGGAAGGAAGGAAAGGAGGAAGGAAAGAAGGGAGGAAGGAAGGGAGGAAAGAAAGAAGGGAGGAAGGAAGGGAGGAAAGAAGGGAGGAAGGAAAGAAGGGAGGAAGGAAGGGAGGAAGGAAGGAAGGAAAGGAGGAAGGAAAGAAGGGAGGAAGGAAAGAAGGGAGGAAGGAAAGGAGGAAGGAAGGAAAGGAAGGAAGAAAGGAAGGAAGGAAGGAAGGAAGGAAGGAAGGAAGACGACGACTGCCTCCCCCTCCACCCCTCCTTTCAGCTTTCAATCACTCTAAAAGAAAAGTGAAAGGATAAAGGCACCGTGAGGGGAAACGTGAGGGGAGGGGGAGCCCCTGGGCACCATCGTGCCCATCCTGGGAT